TCAAAATGTACAGAAAAAAACAGGAAGTGCCCCGACCCAATCACTTGTCTGCTCTTCAGTGCCTGGCATGCTCACACCAACACAACAAAAATTTGTCAGGAGGAGTCAGTTGGTAAAATATTTCATTGGGAAAGTGGCAATTTCAGGATAATTTTTTAGACTTAAAAAGTATGTAGTCTTCTATGAGATGCAGCTGCCCTTAAAATTCCTATGGCTGAATTTTTCTTTCAGAAATAGTGTCAGAATTAAATAACAAATATCTAGGAAAATATTGATCTCAGTGTTGCAACTGCCTGTACCATAGCACTTTGCTGTCTTTCCTGTACAGTCAAACATTTGCTAAAACTATTCATCATTGTTGTATATAATTAAGTAGTGTCAGTACTCTGCGAGGTGCTTTACGGAAATGTGTGAAGACATACTCCCTGCCCCAAGCATTTACATTCTGAATAGGCCATTTATAATTGCCAGGGTTTAGGATGGAATTTAACTCAAACCTGTATTTAAACTAGTCAAGCACAGAACACTTCAGGTTATTATATATTTATTTATTTGCAGGGTGGATTGGGGATTACAGGACTTCCAATACTTATTTGCAGGGTGGATTGGGGATTACAGGCCTTTCGATAATATAAATTGTTGCTAAGTTCTTAAAAATTGGATGTTTCAAGTTTGGCTTCTAAATTCATATTTAAGTGTATAAATAAGTGGCCTGATTTTTAGAAGTGCTATTTTGAGGTGCTGTCCTTCTATACCGGAATGCATTTCATGTCAATAATTTGCCTGTGATTCACACACACAGTTAGCTCTTGAGCAGGGATAAAAATCACAGCTCCTGCTTCATTCCCTATAGCCTTATCACTTGAACCATTCCTTTCCCCCCCCCTAATTGCATATCAGGATTTTTTCTATAATATTTATCTAAGAATATCTCAAGAAAGTTATTTGTGACAAAGTTAATACCCGCTGAAACTAGCACAGCTGCCTTTCAGGAAGGCAAAGAGAAAAATCAATTGCCATTTTGCCTGTGTTCCATGCTATATCAAAGCAGCAGAATTTACAAACACTGGTTAAGACTTCAGCTTCTTTCATTTTCAAAGAGGTCAGTGTGTGGAAGAATGTGCCTCATTTAAAATGTACTTCATATAGTAATTGTCTTGACTCTTGCATTAGAATTGCATTGGGGTGATACAGCTGCTGCTGAATTGCCACTGACATTTTTGTTTTCATTGCATGCTAAATTAACAATAAGCTAAAGACTAGAAAATGGAATAATCAGAAAACTCAGAATGGTTCTTTTCAGGTCCCTTGAATGGGTAATGATTCTTTCTTCCTTCCATCCTTTCTTTCTTCCTTTCTTGTTAGGATTTCTGTTGCTGGCACTTTATAAATTTTTTTTGCCAGAATATTCTCTTGGTTGGCTGTCAAAAGCAGATTTCCTTTCAATATATTTAAAGCAACATTTTTGATAGCTGCCACTAGGTCATCCAAAGCAGAACAGAAGAGTGCCTTGTGATGCTGCAGGGGACTTGGATGAGTGGTTTTATAACAGTCAGGTTTCTCAGCAAATGTCTAGACATGATTATTAAATTGCAGTCCACTTTTTATGACAGTTCTAACATATTGCCATCTGTCTTTATAAGCAGAATTTTATATATATATATTTTGCATTAACTGTGTGCCATTTGGGTGCAATAGAGGTTCTCACAAATATCCTTCTTTGAGAAGACTGTAGCAGAGTTTAAATCAACAAGAGAGGAACCATATGGCTCACTTGTTAAATCACCAATGGCTTTTAAAAAGAATTTTTGACTTGCTGGGGTAAAGTTGGCTGGATGCTTTTATTATTTGTAATTTATCTTGTGGATTTTAGAGCAAACCATATTCAGAGTGATGGTTGTGCTGGTAATATATTCTTCCTCACTGAACAAAAATTTAGAGCATGTAAAGAGAGATGGCTTGTGCAAAACACGTATCTGTTATGGAAGTATGAGATATTGACAGTGAATGCTGTGCAATGGCCGTATATTCACCCTGGTGTTTTGCTATTATTATCTCTATGGTTGCACCTACAGTCTGCACACACTCAGAAGGGAGCATCTACACAGCATCCTAAACTCAAAATAAGATGCACAATTTGCACTACACAAATTGCATATCTTTTTTTATTCTATTTCAAAACAGCTTATTTTGAAATTTGTCATGTCTACACAGCACCAAATTTCAAAATAACGCACTATTTCAAGACATCCCTTAACCGTTGTAGAACAAGGGCTTCAGGGTTGCTGAAATAGTGTGCTCATTATTTCAAAAAATATTTCTAAATAACAGGCAGCTTGTTAAGATGCGGGATAGCTATTTCAGGATACCTCTGGTATCCCAAAATAGCCACACAAAGTAGATGTACCCAGGAAGACCCAGCCTCAGGGTGCATATAATTTAAACCTCCTGTCTGGCAAACTCATCTGATGGAGGGTGGGGGCAGATGACTTCTGTAATATCCCCATTGATTTTTGACAAAAAATGGCTAAAGACACATTAGCTATACTCAAGAGTCCCAAACTATCCATCATTAGTTGGTCAAAACTCTATTTCTGGTTGAATACCACTTACTAATGTATTATTCAACAGATATTGGTGAAATTAGACAAATAAATTTACAAATATTTTTTTCTGTGATTTCCCTACTCTGATGCCTGTAGCCAAATCTATTTATTTAGACAGCTGTCATACTGAAAAACTTTCTTCCAGTCTCAAGGATATTTCTGCCTTCAGTTGATTTCCCATCTAAGAACTAGAATGTCTCTGAAAGAAGCAGAATCTTTCTAAATGGAAGAAACATAAGTGCAACTGCTGTAATTGTGTGTTTGCATACCATTTGTGTGGGTGCAGTATATATGTGCAATGTGGAATCCCAGAGAAAACTCAGATATAGTTAGCAAATTAATAATTTAAATGCTTAGACACTCAGTGGTAAGGTTAAACTTACCATAACATATATAAATCCAGAGCACATGTATCCAAAGTATGACCTTTGTCCCTTTGGCAGTCCTGACCTCTCTTCCACCCTTCTTTTTTTGATATATATAGCTGCTTTGTAAGATGGGATGTTAGATCACATCCAAAAGATACATCTTACATTCTCATGAAGTACCCTCCACCAATTTGCGGAGAACTGCCAAGTAGTCCACTGTCTCCCATTCATTTCAGGATTCCATTTCAAAATTTACCTCCTTAGCTTTAAACCTCCAGTGGAATTGATCCAACCTCTTCATGGTCCTTTCTCAATTCCCAGCTCCACACCCTGTTTAACTCTTGTACAGGACCTTCATGCAATCTGCCCACCATGCAATGGAACCTTCACTGCAATTCCTGCCATCTGGCACAACCTTCCTGCAACTCTCTGCTCATTAGTATTCTGTCTGAAAATCTTATGTAAACACAGATACTGCCTCTTCCTTTGACTAAATTTCTTAATTCTCTCATGTCCCTGTGTTCATTTATTAATCTTAACACGGAACAACATGAAAAGCATTTTGGGTTAGTTTGTATAAAAGAGCCTCTATAGAGCTAAATTGGATTGTATACAAGTCCTGCATGATGTCATGTATTTATTCTTAAGGTTTTTCATGATATCTTTTCTTGTCTAATTAATTTTTCAGTGCTTGTGTTCTCTCCCTATAATTATCAGTCACACCATGATAGTTAGTTCTCTATAATCTTGTATTTGCTTTACTGTAATATTATTTACACCCTCACTTTATTATTCATAGTTGAAAGAACAGATTCAGTGAATAATTTCTTTACAAAGACCTGGCTACTAAGGCTATGTCCACAACTGCACTCTAAACTCGAAAAAAGATATGCAATTTGCGCTATGCAAATTGCGTACTTATTTCGAGTTTATTTCAAAATAAAGTGCCATTCGAGACATCCCTTAACTCTCATGGAATGAGGATTACCGGGATGCTGAAATATTATGCCTGTTATTTCAAAAAAATATTTCAAAATAGTGGGAGCCTTCTGAAGATGCGGGGCATTTTCTGGTATCCCAAAATAACTTTGATGTGTAGACATATCCTAAATAGCTTTGGTTTCAGATCCACTTTTGACAGTCTTCAGTACAACTATATAAGGTCTTATTGTACTGTGGAATTCAGATAATACAGATTTGTGTGTTTCCTCTTTTCAAAGTGCATTAGTTGTACTTCAGCCCTTTACATTTCGTGCTTAAAGTTGCTGGGCCACATTCTGCTCTTAGTTACATTGACTCCCTGTTTTGAGCATTTTGTTCCATGCTGACTAAGCCATTATCTAGAATCTTTTAAATTGGGTTTATACCATTTGTGCTAGTTTTAAATTCTTCCAGGCTAGCCTTCAAGCTGCAGATCTTTACAATGGTAACAAAGTGGGTAACAGAGCTGTCCCCTAAAAATGAGTAAGGGAGTCTAGGGGACATTACAAATACCGTGGTAAGGTTATTTAAGATAATATAGGGAAGATTTTCAGTGCAACCACTGTCATTTAACGTATTTGGTTCTTTTGAAACTTTAAATGGTCTTATGCTTATGTGAAGTCTTCCGCCTTCTGTTCCAAACAGAAAAGGAAAAGAAAGAAAGCGTTCTTTTCATGAGGGCTGAACAATAGTTTAATGAGATCAAATCATTTCACATGTCTGGAATACTGTAATGGAGAGTTATTTCCATTAACAAGCCTAGGCGTTTTAACTTGATGCTGAATCGCTCACATTGCATTCTCCCCCCTCCCCCCCCACACACTCACTTTCTTGGTGCGACTCTCATACGCCAACAAAATCTATGACTTAAGAGATTTGATTATTCTGTTCCAAAATTAAATATCCCCCATAGGATGGCTGAATTCACTAAGCCAAGCTCTCTTCAACACTTGTAAGCAAAAGCCTAAAGCATACTTTGCTGCATTATATTAGTTCGACATTTAATAAAGGATTGTACTGCACACTAAAATATAATTATTTGCAGGTGAAGAACTATTCTGGGTTATTCGCTATGGTGTTGTTTACAATCTGGTTGTGATGTGCAATGAACTCTGTGGGGATGTGAGTCGAGAAGGCTTAAGGAATGCCATGTGGAATGCTTTACAGAAACAAAAGAACAACGAAAGAGATGGTCGAGTCCTGGAAGCTGTTAGAGTAGCAGAGGTATGTATAAAATCCAATAACTGGAATAGACCATCACTCCAGCCAGATCACCAGTGTAACATAAGCTAAACATTTATTTTTAGAGTGACAAAGTGAGGGTGATTTAATTAAAAGACCAACTTCTGACCCATAACTAGTGGCAATTGCATTGGTCTCTGGAGCCTACTTTGATAATTGTAAAAATGTGGAGATACTTTAATTTAGAAAAGGGTTGAAAGGGTTACTGTTTAAGTAACAATTGACATTTTAAGTTACAATACAGCAAAGAATATGTTTTGGCTTCTAAATCCCTTAATATTTCAATTTAATTTTTATATAGCTTCCATGTTATTCGAACACTAAAAATAATGAATGACTTTCTCTTTCTGGTTTACTGGTCAGCAATTAGTTATTATTAGTGATCTTTACAATCCTGACAATGTTACTGATGCCTAGGCAGGAATAGGAGACTGCTATGCTGATTTTTGCTCAGATGGAAACAAAAGACTAAAGAATCATTGTGTTTTCTAAGGTCCAGTCCAGCTTCCCTGACAGTATTAAAACTACCTTTGACCGCAACAGAACAGGATTGTTTATTATGTGAATTGAGTCCCCAGCTGAGATCAGGTCCCCATTGTACTATGTACAGTACAAAAACATAATAAGAGCTTACACTTCAAGTAGACAAGAGAAACAAAGGGTGGAAGAAAGGGAGTATTATCCCCATTTTATAGATGTGGAACAGTGATACCAAGCGAGGGAACAACTTGCCCAACATCACACAGAAGGGTCTGTGGAAGGTTATCCCCATTTTACAGATGTGGAACAGTGATACCAAGAGAGGGAACAACTTGCCCAACGTCACACAGAAGGGTCTGTGGAAGAGTCAAGAATTGACCCGAGGACTCTGAATCCCATTCAAATGCTTTTTTCACAAAACTACTTTAAAAACAATCCCAGACATCGGTGCTCATTAGACAGTATCTCTGAGTTGTGTAATATTTAAAAGGGGCACCAAGCAGGATTACCTCTGATAGACATCATTGTTAACTCCATCCACTGAGCCTTTGAAAGTCACTCTACAGAGTTAATGGAGGAGGGAAATCAGGGAATTTGACAGGGTGCACAAGGAGCTAAAAACTCTTTTAAATGCCAATGCTGATATTTTATTTAACTTAATGAAAACAGATGCTTTCATTTTGTAACTTCTTAAACTGTCAGCTATATTTGGTTAATGAAAACAGATGCTTTCATTTTGTAACTTAAACTGTCAGCTATATTTGACTGTATCTCACAGCAGAAAATTCAACTGAAAGCAGTGTCTGTCAATATTTAGAGGTCTAGCATGCCACATTTGCTCCACAATAGAAGTGGATAAAAAGATAACATCGCTGGGACTTAAGAATTTGGCAATTATTTTTTCAAGTGTGTTTTAGAGAAGATGAGTTCTTTGAATTCAGTTTCCATTTTTCATAAAATAGATGTCATCGATGTACCGTAGGTAGAGGAGGGGTGAAAGGGGACGGGAGTTGAGGAAACGTTGTTCTAGGTCAGCCATAAAGATGTTAGCATACTGTGGGGCCATGCGTGTACCCATGGCTGTGCCGCTGATCTGGAGGTATAAGTTGTTCTCAAACTGGAAATAATTGTGGGTGAGAACAAAGTTACATAGGTCTGCTATCAGGTTGGCAGTAGTGTCCTCTGGGATAGTGTTTCTAATTGCTTGTAATCCGTCTTCATGTGGGATGTTGGTATATAGAGCTTCTACATCCATGGTGGCAAGGATGGTATTATTGGGGAGGTTATCGATGTTTTGTAATTTCCTTAGGAAGTCAGTAGTGTCTCGGAGATAGCTGGGGGTATTGGTTACGAAGGGTTTGAGAAGAGTGTCTACATAGCTGGATAGACCAGTAGTGAGCGTACCAATACCAGAGATGATGGGACGTCCGGGGTGCCCAGGTTTATGGATCTTGGGAAGTAGATAGAACAATCCTGGTCGGGGGTCAGACAAGTTACAGTTAAGACAGGTAAGGAAGATAAATTTGCTGAAAATGGTGCCCGCAGAAAAGTTAAATTATGTATTAAATTCTCAGCCCCATCCTATTATCTTAGGAAATTAGATAAGAATGTCTGATTTATTTAACTGGGATGAAAATAGGCCTAGGAGATTAAGAATTTAAATCTTCAATAGCCTAGAGAACACAAGGGGATTTGTCTGCATTTGCCTTTGCTCAATAGAATTAAGGCATGGAGTTTACCTTCGCCTGTACAAGTGCATGTGGAAGAGGGAAAGAATTCTCAGAGAAGCACAACTGGTGGTAGGTAGTATCACACACTGCAGCAATCCCCAATGATAAGGAGCATGACAAACTGGACTTGAGGCATGCCCAAGGTCCCTCCACACTAGCATTTGGCAGCAGGTGCAAGGAGGAGATAATGGTGTGGGGAGGGAGTATATACTATACCTTTCACCATGCGGAATATGGAACATTATCCAGCATACTTCCCCCAGCGTTCCGAGAGATCCTTTCAGCAAAAACTACAAAGCACTTCCATTCAGCTGCTACAGGTTCACGTACACACAGCACTCTCCCTGTGATCAAGATATAGAATGTGCCTGAAGCTAACTAATAGAGATCAAAAAGGTAAATTTGGTCTCTTCTTCTACTTCAGTTTCAGTGCACCAGATTACAAGATAAATGGTAATCTATTTGGCTTGAATGGCTTACCAGTATGTGTTCAGAAGATCTCCTGTGGACCATGACAGCATATGACATCTGTGCCTAAAGATGAATAATACAAACTTTATGAATTAAATTCAGCTAGGTTGTGAGCAGGTGCGACTTCTATTGAAATCAATGGGCAATCTTTGTGCTTACATTAATTTTTGTCCTTATAAGAAGAAAATAGTTTTTCTAGGAATATTTTCAAGCCTTGCCAGGAATCACAATAGGATTTCAGTTAGAAACTTTGAAAATGGAAACAATTCCCCTCACCCCAGATATAAATAGATACTAATGGTACCGCTGCACTGAAATGGATTTACATGTGTATTTTAAGGTTATTGTGAAATAATGAAAATTTTAACTTGCTAAAACAAAGTAACTGTTTGTAACCCTTTAAGAGTATATTTTCCTAAGACTTATGGTCTTCACATCCTTAAGCAGATTGCGGTATCAGCTTTTAAAATACTTGCATTGCTTCCAGGGTACAGTGGAATTGCTTTTTAGAATGTGGTAGATGCGCATTTGCCATACAAACTCACATCATGAAATCTACAAAATTCTCTACCACCACCAGTGCTAATAGGAAGGCAGCCATAGGCTCCTCTACAAAGGCTGTGGGCATTAAAACCACACAGAGGATCAGCAAGAGGAGAAAGGAGAACCAAACAGCTCATAACTTCCTATTACCAAAGGGCATATCTCTGAATGTAAAATAAGAACTTCTGGAACTTTCCTTCAATCCCCAAACCAGTCTTTGATTTCCAAACCATTTGATAAAGACTCCTCACCCTGACACCTGCCCTCCACCCTACCGCAGGGCTTTCCCATTTCTTACATGTTCTCTCAGGAGCCTGCCCTCTTTCCCAGATACATACACAGACAATGTCAGAGTCTTGGATCTGTTTAGGCTGCTCTCCAGATCCACTCAGGGGACTTCTGCTGGGAGTGAGGTTGGCCAACTGACCTCTCACCTCTGCTGGGCAATGGCATAAAATGGTTGTACTGATAGTTTCTTATATTTTAAACAGAACGGTAGAGTTAATGCCTCCAAATGCACCATGGCATTGCAAAGTTCCTTGAGCTAATAGGGTCTCTTAGGAAAGTAAAGTAAAAGAGAGGTCATGTACTATGAATTTCATGTATAATTGAGCCAGAGAACCAGGTTCCCTTCCCAGCTTTCCACTAGCCTGATGGGTGATGTTAATTCACTTCTCTTGCTTCAGTTTCCCCATCTATAAAACAACGACAGTTCTACTGATCTCTGTTGTAAAACACTTTGCAATCTACTGGTGAGAAGTCCATTATAGGAGGTAGGCACTACTATTATTTAAAAGAGGCAATCTAGTAGAATGCTGCTGAGAAGCTATAGGCTTCGGCTGTACAGTTGAAAAGTAGCAGGCTATGGGTAATACTCAGAAGCAGACACTGCGCTGTAGAAGGGACATAAACCAGATTATTGTTTTAAGAGAACAGATACACTAGGAAAAAGAACAGCAAGACAATCCTGTTTCTCCCTAAAAATTTGTTTCACATGTATAATATGTTTTATTGTGATTTTCTTTAAATAAGAAACACATTGGACATGAATGTTCATGTTTACATCAAGTATTATTCAAGTTATATTTAATAGATACGTTTTTTAAAGTTATATTTTTAAAAAACCACACAGAAACTCAGTTCAGATAATTTAGTGAAAGACCTGATCCTACATCCATTGCTAGTAAGGACAAAACTCACTTTATTCAATGGCTGCAAGATGAATTCAAACTGAAACAGGTACAAAGAAGGGCCACTAGGATGATCCGAGGAATGGAAAACCTGTCTTATGAAAGGAGACTCAAGGAGCTTGGTTTGTTTACCTTAACCAAAAGGCTGAGGGGGGACATGATTGCACTTTTTAAATATATTAGAGGGATAAATACCAGGGAGGGAGAGGAATTATTTAAGTTTAATACCAATGTGGACACAAGAACAAATGGATATAAGCTGGCTAGTAGGAAGTTTAGACTTGAGATTAGACGAAGGTTTCTAACCATTAGAGGAGTGAGGTTCTGTAACAGCCTTCCAAGGGAAGTAGTGGGGACAAAAGTTCTATCTGGTTTCAAGATTAAACTAGATGGGTTTATGAAGGGGATGGTTTGATGAGATAACATGATCTTGGTAACTAATTGACCATTCATTATCAGTGGGAAATAGGTTAATGGAGGGATGATAGGAGTTACTATAGAGAACTTTCTGGGTGTCTGGCTGATGAGTCTTGCCCACATGCTCAGGGTTTAGCTGATCACCATATTTGGGGTCGGGAAGGAATTTTCCTCCAGGGTAGATTGGCAGAGGCCCTGGAGGTTTTTTGCCTTCTTCTGTAGCATGGGGTACAGATCACAGCTGGAGGATTCTCTGCATCTTGGGGTCTTCAAAGTATTTGAAGGCTTCAATATCGGAGATATAGGTGAGAGGATTATTCTAGGAGGGGTGGGTGAGATTTTGTGGCCTGCACTGTGCAGGGGGTCAGACTAGATGATCATAACGGTCCCTTCTGACCTTAAAGTCTAAGTCTATGAGTAAGATCAAACCTTAAATAATTGTCCAGTGGTAGCGTGTTAGCGCAAATATTGTCACATCTGTATTTTTCAACAAGCAGCTGTTGAGTTTAGAGGGGTAAATAAATCCATAAATAACTTTGATTACATAATTAGTCAGAATTTTATTGTTGGAGTCATGTATGGACTATTTTAGCACAATGCTATTGTGTTACATTAAGTTGTACGCCATACTATACTGTTTTAGTATAACATTTAATTTGACTCATCTGCAATTCAGTCTGTATTACAGAGTTGAAGTTTTAGATTAAATGTAGTTTTCAGGTGGAAAGAAACTGCAATAAAAGTACTTGGACTATTAGTTCTTCCAAATGATTAATAGCAGGACTTGCTTGGAACATAGGCTTTGATTTCCTCTGTTTAATTGTAGCCTTAAGTGAAATAGGGTTTTGATTTAAGAAAATGTAGACTTGGGTACAGAAAATTTTAAATTTCTGTAACAAAATTTCCCACAATAATGATTCATTTCATTTACATTCAGACGAGTTAAGGGTTAATATGTGGGGAAAAAGAAAACTGTAGCAGCCAAGTTCTACTTTTAAAACTGGAGAAAAAAATTCTAATGCATTTCCTTATTTTGAATAATATATGTAAGAAGTGGAGGAGGGGGATCTCCAAGTAGAGCAGATTTCCCTTCCTCTCACTGTGATCAGGTACCCCTCTCCAGACAGGTTCCAACGATGGGTGGCTTCAACTGTTACAAGCAGGAGCTGGGGTGCAACATGTTCTTGGGGGGAGGGGAGTGCTCACCTCTAATGGCCTGTCACTGGTGGAAAGATGCAACCGTGGCTCTGCATCAGGCACATTGACTCAGTCTGTAGGGGCCACTGCCAGCGGGTTCCATTGGCCACAGTTCCTTGTCCTGGCCACTGAGCTGGCTGGGAACCATGGAGTCAGTTCTTGGGGCAAGAAGGACAGGGGAGGGGAGGACAGAGGCAAAGTGTGGAGCTGCCTCCACAGATTTCAAATGTTACCATGGACACGTGTGCATGTATGGACATGTTGCTGACCCATGTTTATCATCTTTCTCTTTATAACAATCTTTCACATAATTGAAGACTTTCATCAGTTTTCCCCCACCTCTAGTCTCTCCAAAATAAACAAACTCAGTTTTTTCAATCTTCCCTCAGGCTACGTCTAGACTGCAGGCTTTTTGTGCAAGAAGCTTTTGTCGGAAGAGAGTGTTCACACTGAAAAAGAGCATCAAAAAAGCGATGCACTTTTGTGAAAGAGAGCGTCAAGACTGCCTGGATGCTTTCTCGCAAGTAAGCAGTGATTGCTATGGACGGAATGGCCACCAGGGCACCAGTGCTTTTTCCTCTTCTCTCTTCTTGCGCAAAACCCCCCTCTTCTCTGTCCACATACGCCTTTTTGCACAAGAGCTCTTGCGCAAAAAGGCATTCTTCCTCATAGAGGATTACCAATTGCACAAAACCCCCTCTGATCATTCGATTTACTTGCACAAAAAATGCACTTGAGGTGTGGATGCGCCGTGAGTTTTTCCAAAAAACCAGCCGTTTTTCCGCAAAAACTATGTAGTATAGACATAGTCTCAGAAGTCATGTTTCCAGATTTTTAATTTTTGTTGCTCTCCTCTGTACTTTCTCTAATTTGTTCAAATCTTTCCCAGAGTGTGATGCCCAGAATGGGGGACACTACTCCAGTTATGGCCTCACCAGTCTTGAGAAGACTGGAAGAATTATTTATCATGTCTTGCTTACAATCCTCCTGCTAATGCATCCCAGAATTATCTTTTCTCTTTGCACAACAGCATTCTGTTCTTGACTTGTAGTCTGTGATCCATTGTAAACCCCACATTCTTTGCTGCAGTACTCCTTCCCAGGCAGTCATTTCCCATGTTGTGTTTGTGCAATTGATTACTCTTTCCTAAGTGTCATATTCCGGATTTGGAATTTCACCCGGTTTAATTCAGATAATTTCTCTGGTTTGTCAAGATCATTTTGAATTTTGATGCTGTCCTCAAAAGTGCTTGCAACCCCTCTTACTTCAGTATCATCTCAGTATCATCTGCATACTTTATAAATTTGTTTTCTCTACTATTATCCACTTCAGTTATGAAGATATTGAATAGAAATGGACCCATGTCAGAACCCTGAGGGATCCCACTTGGGATGCCCTTCCAGCTTGATTGTAAACCATTGATAACTATCCTCCATATGCCACACAAATACAGCCCGGCTCCCTGGCATTGTGATTCAAAGGGAGCAATCATGCCAAGAAACCAAAAGGGATACTGGTTCAGAGATGATGCAGAGTCACTTGGTCATAGTGTGGATGGCCCTTATCACCTGAATGTATCCAGGTGTGGGAATCCATAGCTTTTCCCATGAAGAAGCAAATGCTCCTCCTCCTCCTCTCACACAACCATGGGATATATTTTATTGCAGGAGGAAAATGCTCATAGACTTCTGGAGAGGTGATCTGGGCCAAAATGCC